TAATTTATTTTTGGTTTAATAATATAACATTTTATAAAGATAATAATTAAGTATTCTGTCAGAACTCAATGATTATTCTAATTATATTTTAGATTTTTTATATTTAAAATGAGATGTTTATCCTCTATTTGATTGTGTTTATCTGCAGTTAGTTACACGAATTCAGATATGGAGCTTTAATAAGTTGTACCTACGCACAATTTACTTGTAATCTTGAATTTTAAGTAATATGCATTAATAAACATTACTTTACGCATAAAAAATGGTTTTTAAGAGTTTTTATCAAATGATTTATAATACATAATATTTTTTTATATAATTTAATTTAAGTTTAATAACAAAACAATTTATTTTTGGTTTAATATTATAAATTTTATAAAGATAATAATTAAGTATTCTGTTAGAATTTAATGATTATACTAATTATATTTTAGATTTTTTTATTTAAAATGAGATGTTTATTCTGTATTTGATTGTGTTTATCTGCAGTTAGTTACACGAATTCAGATATGGAATGAAATCAGATAGAGATGAAATCGTTTAGGGATGAACGGGTTTAAGAGTTTCTAAGAGTTTTAAGAGTTTTTAAGAGTTTTAAGAGTTTTTAAGAGTTTTTAAGAGTTTTAAGAGTTTTTAAGAGTTTTAGTCAAATGTTTTATAAGATAGTATAGATAATTAGTATTATAATATAAAATAAATTAAATATCTTAAGGATTATATTTTTTCTAATATTATAAGTATTATGGTACAGCTACTGGAACTGTATTTGTGCAATACAACGTGATACATCTTGATTTATATATCGTTTTATTCTTTATCTCTGTCGATTTTATAATACAATTTTCTTTGGTTTTAAGAAAGCGATAATGCTTTTATGTTAAATAAAATATTAATTTAAAGACCCCACAAAAATTTGAAGAAAAAAAATCAATATTAGAACTAAATTCACAATTTAAAATTTTAAAACTCTTAAAACTCTTAAAAACTCTTAAACCCGTTCATCCCTAAACGATTTCATCTCTATCCAATTTCATCCCATACTTGAATTAGTCTAACTAACTGCAGATAAACATAATCAAATATTGAATAAAATCACATTTTAAATATAAAAAATCTAAAATATAATTAGGATAAACATTAAGTTTTAACATAATACTTAATTATTATCTTTATAAAATGTTATATTATTAAACCAAAAATAAATTATTTCATTATTAAACTTAAATTAAATTATAATAAAAAAATAAATTAAAGAAATTACACAAAAATGAGAACTTTTAAATAGTTGATGTGATATTAATATTGATATATTTTTTTTCAAATTTTTATGATATTTTCAAATTTATATTTTATTCAAAAATAAAATCATTATTATTTTTTAAAAACACATAAAATCGTATTATAACATCGACAGAGACAAAAAAATAAAATAGAACATTAAAATCGAGATGTATCTCGCTGCATTGTGCGAGTACCCTTCTAGTCATACCATAATATATGCATCCCCATTGCCATACAAATACTCAAAAACACATTATACATATATCGAATGTTTTATGTATACATGATATATAAAAAATCTTGAGAAAATCCCAAGCAAGCTTGTGTAAAATTATAAATAAAACATGCAACCATTTTTAGAAAGAAAAAAAAACTCACGTATAAATAACTATACAAGTCGTTGCCCAAACCTATCTTTGAAGTGGCTACCTTCTCCCCTACAAATCCAAGATCGTAATTTTAAATCAATAATAAAATACGATACCACTACCTACGATAATCAGAGATGATCGAGTAGTTCCCTTGACACTATTTATTTTTACGATCCATAAGCCGATAAATAAAATAATTATTTATTCCGCATTTTATTTAATTTATTGTTTCTTTAATCAATTTTCAAAATAATTATGTTAATATTTTTTTTAAATATATAATATTTATATATGGTAAATAAAATTAAAAAACTTACTCACTCCCCTCATTTTTTTATAACTCCTGACTACCTAAGAGGCCAAAGATTCATATACCACTAGATCAAAAGTCTTTTAATAATTATGTTAATACTTCTTGTATCGTATAAAGTCATAAATTTTATCGTGTAGAAAACGAATATAATACACAAAAGAAACCTTGGTAAAATATACAAACATTTATGAAAAAGATATCGCCATCATTTTCACGACAATCGCTCCGTCGTTTGTCATCCAAATTGTCAAATAGAAGTTGTCTTATTCGGTAATTGACTGATATCATTTTCATAAACGGAAGACGAAACAGATCGATGATATCAATTGACTGATGCTAAGTCAACGGCTTAGGAACAACACAAAGAGACTTGGCCTTCTGTAAGGTGATTCCGAACCTCTCTGCCATGTCCAATTCCTCGTGTTCGATGCCATTGCTTAGATTCCAATTGAAGTTATTGAGCAGTGAACCCAACATCATAGGGATCATACGGATCGCAAGTGGCAAACCAGGGCATATTCTCCGTCCAGCACCAAATGGAATCAACTCAAAGTCTTGACCGCGGACATCAAGGCCCGAGGTTTGGAATCTTTCTGGCTTGAACTCCAACGAGTCTTCCCAAATGGATGGGTCTCGTCCTATGGCCCACACATTCACAAGAACCTGTGTGCCCTCTGGGACGATGTAGTCGTAGAGTTTTACTTGGTTTACAACTTTTCGAGGAAGCAATAAAGGGATTGGTGGATGAATTCTTAACGTCTCTTTCACAATGCACGATAAGTAGGGCAGCCTCGACAGATCATTTTCTTCAACAATTTTACCTTTACCAATAACTGCTTCGAGCTCCTCTTTAGCTTTGGCCATAACGTATGGTTTTAGCAGTACTTCACTCATGGCCCATTCTAATGTATTCGAAGTGGTATCAGTGCCCGCAACAAATATATCCTATATTTTCATATAAAATAACATGTTAAAGAATTATTCAAATTTTCTATTTGCTTCATATTTTCTCTTCAAATAAAAATATACAAAATAAAGTTCAATCGTTTTTTATTAACTGTAAGTGTCCAGACCAGACCAGAACAAAATCGGATTTATAGGACACTCCCAATCTCTAAGCGTCCTAATAGACCTCTTTTATAGGACTTGGTTTATAGAAACAAAAAAAATAAAGTATCTTATCTAAGGGAGTTGTAAAAGTTTATATGACGTTTTTTGACTTCGTAATAAGTTTTTTAGAACACTTTTAACATCAAACGTCTCATTAGCAACTTTATAGGACACTATTTGAAAAACTGTCTTGTAAAAACAAGTGTCCTATAAAAAATTGAGTTTATTGGACACTCTCTCAAAAGTGTCCAATAAAGTTGCTAATGCGACATTTTGTATTAATAATGTCCTAAAAAACTTGTTAACACGCCAAAAAATGTCATATAAACTTATTACAACACCTTTAGATATGACGTTTATATTTTGGTCCTATAAATTAAGTCCTATAAAGCAGTCTACTGGGACGCTTAGAGATTGGGGTGTCCTATAAACCCAATTTTGTTGTAGTGACATGCATCTCAACTAGTCTAAGGAAAGTGTTTTTTTGTAAAAATAAGGTGATTTAAAATCCCCTTGTGGCTAATGGAGATTCCAATACGATGATTTCGGGCCACCCGTGAAGCGGGTGATCGTTCTGGGATTAGTTGGCTTACACAGCGAGTGGAATACCGAGGTTAATTAAATTAAAAAAAAGGATAATTTACAAATAGTTTTGTAAAAATAGGGTCGTGGCGTCATAATAAAATAAAATTTTATATTTTTCAACCAATTTATTATATTTTATATACAAGTTAACTTGTTGTAAATACATAACTAAAATATATTTATTATGTCAAAATAGTTTAATCAATATTCCATAAATCTATTTATATATTTTTAATTTTTTGTGTTAATTATTTATTTCTTTTTGAAATTTTCAGTTAATACGTTTGTACAATTTTACACTTCATAGTTCATATCAACATTTTCCCACTTTTCAATTAATACGATTATTCAGCTTTTTAAAATTTATATAATATTTGAGTATTTTTTGTGTTTAATAATTTCTTAATTTAATATTTTTTGTTTGATAAAATTTATTTTGTTTTATAATAAATTTA